TATTACTTACTAATACAGTAGTGTGTGTGTGTGTGTGTGTGTGTGTGTGTGTGTGTGTGTGTGTGTGTGTGTGTGTGTGTGTGTGTGTGTGTGTGTGTGTGTGTGTTAATTATATAAAGTAAATCACTAAATATTTTCACCGAAAATGTGGTGTGTGCTGATTAAATTTGTACTAGGTATTTAAATGTAAAAAACTTCTGTTGAGTTTTCACTGTAAGATTACCTCAACAAATCTAATGGCCTTAATTCAGTCCTTTTACAGGTTGTTATTTCTTAAGTTTCCCCATAGATGTGTTTCGAATATTAACTGATCAGATTATGAACATTTTCATTGCTTACTCATTATAGGATACATAAGCAGAACTCTGCGTTGAGCAATATCTTCTGGAAACTTGGCATAAACCACCTGAGCTTCATGGGTGTCCTCATCACTTTGGATTAAAATTTTTCCAATCGAATTGATCGACAGCAATCTCTAAGGCCTTGTTCCATAGCTTCTCCTGTGAAAAAAGATGAGAAAACACTTATGCTCAAACATATTGTTTTTATTTTAAATAAAGGATGACTGTACAAAATTGGTGACCAGTAGTTTTACCCACTTCAATTTAACAGAGAAGAAAATAATAAAATAAGAATAAATCAATCACTTCATTATTTAATGCTCAATAATTATTTGTAATTTAAGTTGGTGAATTGAACTTTTAGGGTTAGAAAACAAATAGTTATAATTAGTAATAAAAGAGCACAATATTGTGTATAGCAGTTGATTCCATTTGTTAGACTTAATGTGGTTTTTCATTAACTATAAAGTTCTAAGTTCATCAGAAAATACACTAACCACTCCGAACAATGCTGACTCCACAGTTTCCCTTCACATACTGCAAGCCTTCATACATTTCTCCTGTAGAGTGAAACTCACATAAATGGTGCTTTCAGGTAAAAATAAACCTGTTCATATTATTAGAGTTAATACTATTTAACATTATGTTACTCATAAAATTAATGCTTGAATAAACAAACATTAAATGTGCCATTATAAAACAAAGCTAACTATAATGGAAATGTGTTTATTTTTTATCAATAAAGAATAATCAAAACTATATTATGGAATTAAACAAAACAAATCACTTATTTACTTTTACGTTTTTTTTTTCCCCAGAAATATAATGAACATAAAGCAATTTAGAATTGGCAAATTAGATGATAAATTATATCAAAGGAATTACTTTTGAAGCAAAGGCAATGCTAGTGCATTAAAGTTCCTAAGCAAGAATACTTTTGGACCCCTTCACCTATACCTAAAAAATTTTAATTATGATATTTCTACAAACAAAAAATAAATGTACCAACAAATCATATAGTAATAAACTTGGATAAAAACTATTTGTACTCAGACACTAACACCACTGCTCCAGTATCTTTCTCAAATCATCCACACTACGTGTGTACTGCACTTAGCTACCAGTCAGTGCACATGCACCAATATCTTTCTCAAATCATCCACACTACGTGTGTACTGCACTTAGCTACCAGTCAGTGCACATGCACCAATATCTTTCTCAAATCATCCACACTACGTGTGTACTGCACTTAGCTACCAGTCAGTGCACATGCACCAATATCTTTCTCAAATCATCCACACTACGTGTGTGCTGCACTTAGCTACCAGTCAGTG